GTTATAGCACCCAATGCGTAGACGTACACAACGCATGAGGATTCTGTTCTAGCATTAAGATTCTGAACGTATTGTATGCTAAACAACTCATTAACTTAGATTAGTATTTATAGTTTTGCTGAATAGTTTCATGTCCGCTTACCTTAGAAACGTAAAATGCCACGGCAGTGTGCAGATGGGGAGCATGTTAGCTTAGCTTGGTAGCTTCAGCTAGCTCTGGAGCTTGCAGCAGGTCCCGCCTCGGCTCCGCCTCTTTGTCCTTATTTGGAGCAGGCTGGAGTAGGCGGGAGTTGAACTCTGACGTCACTGTCGAGCCGTTAGTGGCCGACTCTGCCTACTAAGGGCTTCTCGGCAACTCTGCAGAATCCTATGGGTGACGTCACGGACCCTACGTCCATTTATATATACAGTCTATGATATAAACGCTGCTGAAGGTTAATCCAATGTCTCTGTGTCACTTTGAAATGATAACTGATAATCCATCATAACATGTCAATAAGAGTAGTTTTCATATAGAGTGTATGAGAGCTTCCGGTTTTGGGCATGCTGGCTGCGCATCACTCTTATTCACCAATGGTAATGTTTAGATGGATTTAGGAACTCCATCTCGATTCTATTGGCTCTAACGGTTCAAATGTGGTGTCAATCATCCAAATCGACCGATGGGTTCCAGAGATATGGTAAATGACCCCAGAGGTGGTTTTTTTTCTTCTAAACCTCTCCAAAAAGGTCAAATTTCACTTGTTTTGCATCAATCTTGATACAGGGTACTTATTATATGTTATAGTTTGGATTCCTAAAGGTTTTTGGCTACTATCCCATCATTCAAGGGTGGTCTTCACTATAAGTAATGTTTTTTTTTAAAGACGGAAACTATAATTTAATTTTTTTTACTATGTTCAATCTGAATTTACTTTAAAAAGCAAAGATAATAAAATAAACATTAAAATACAAAATACATGAATAAAAGTTGCAGTGTAAGATATTAATAGTTCAATTAAAAGCAGCGGCAAAAAGAAAAGTCTTCAGCCTGGATTTAAAAGTAGTCAGAGTTGCAGCAGACCTGCAGGTTTCTGGTAGTTTGTTCCAGATATTTGGAGCATAATAACTGAACGCTGCTTCTCCATGTTTACTTCTGAGTGGTGACAGAAAGCAGACCAGACCTGGTCCTGGAGTAATCTGCGGCCGCGAGCTGTTATGTGCCATCATGACGCGCATGGTGTTATTTTTTATATATATTATAATGAAGCGCGAGCTGTGTGCTCGAGTCTTCCTGTCTGTTGGCTGAACTCTGCTACTCCGCGATGAGGGTCTAACTAACAGCTTCTAACTTCAGCAGCTACATTACCTACGGGTGCGTTCGTTAACAGTAACTGTGCGGAGTCACTCTGGCACAGACTGTGGTGGTGAACAGCTGTTAGAGCGGGCCGTTCAGGTGTTCAGAGCAGACCTCCCTGTCTGAGCGGCAGAGCGTGATGTGAACTGAAACGTTTTTCTGTCGCAATATTATTTAAGGAATCGTTGAGCTAGCTAACTAGCATACATTGTCACTATCAGCTAACGTCAGCTTTCAATCAAGCCAATTGCCTCTAGGAGGTGCTAAACCAAAACGTACATGTAACGTGACACTCCCCGCCTGGTACTGAACATAATAGCACTATTAGAGAACAAACTACTAGGAGGTAAGTAACAGTCTGTGTGACCCCTAGGGGAACATAAGCGCCACCCCCTCTGTGATTGGACGGATGAAGGTCTTTGAGGCCCCTTCTCTGTCAACTTTAAGTTCTAACTTCCGGACCTTACCACCGCTCGCAGGAAACGTTTTCGTAACCAGTGCCATGGGCCACTGGTTTCTTTTCACCTGAGTATTGCGAAGAAGCACCAGATCTCCTTGCTTAATGTTGTGATGGCTCTTTTGCCACTTTGAGCGACTCTGAAGAATTGAGGGATGAAGCCA